CCTTCTACTCAAAACACATAGAAGGCAAGCCGAACCAAGGAAAATGGACACTACGATCGGACGCTTCACACCAAACTTGGGAAGTTATACAAGAAGGAAGAAGACTCACCGATGGTTGGGAAGCCTTCGCCCAAGCACACTCCCTTTGCATCGGTGACATTGTCGTGTTCAAAAAGGAAGGAGACATGGTATTTCATGTGACTCCTTTTGGTCCTAGTTTTACTGAGATTCAGTATATACCTCCTCAAGGGGATGATGCTGCGGATGGTGCCTCAACTTCCTCGTCTCTTCCTAAATGATGCATGTTTGTCTTGCTATTGTCTTATTGTAATTTGTTTCTAGTGGACTTGTAATGGATGACTTCTATGTTGTTGTTCCCTTGTTTCAAAATGTTTTTAGACCTATGACTTGTAATGGATGATCAACTATCATAACTACAACTCCTTTGTCCTCTATGTACAAACCATGGTAACACCATTGTGGATGGTCTTAGTAGACGACTAATAATTAAGTCGTCTGGAAAGTCATCCAGCCGGAAGATTTGTCAGACGACTTAATTATTAGTCGTCTAAGAAGTCTAACACAAATTCTAACACAAATTCTTAAAACATACTCATAAAGCCTGGACGACTTAGTAGACGACTAATATTTTAAGTCGTCTGGAAAGTCATCCAGCTGGAAGATTTGTCAGACGACTTAATTATTAGTTGTCTAACCCCTGTAAGTATTCTATTCAGACGACTTTCAACTAAGTCGTCTAGACGACTTAGTTGAAAGTCGTCTCGTATAGTTATTCTTAAAAATAATTTAAAAAATTTGTAAAAAATATTTAGATAAGTGAAAAATTGAAATCATGTAATTAACACCAGTTTTAAGAGATATAAATTAAGATAGAATAAAATTTAATTATTTTTAACATAGATGAGTGAAAGTAGTGAGTGATGATATTCTTTTGTTTTGGGTTTGCCAACATATGTTGTAGTATTGTATGTGTTTCTTAAGGTCAGATTTTCGAAAGCATAAATGTTTTTTTGAAAAATTAAAAATTTACCTAAGTGTGTTTATTTCTATGTATAGTAAACTCTATTTAAGTATAATCTGATTTTATAACGTGGTTAGTTAGTTAATTTAGTCAATTTAGTTTAGGATTTAGGATTTAGGGTTTAGGGTCTGGACGACTTATAACTAAGTCGTCTGGTAAATATATTTAATAAGGTAGACGACTTAGTCAGATGTATAGTATCAACAGACGGCTTAATTATAAGTCGTGCAAACCGGATTTTACCGAATTACTTTTAAACCTAAACGGATTTTTTACCGGACATATATAAGATGATTTTTTTTTAATCACTTTTCGTGAAACTCTGAAAACCCTAACGCCGTTTCTCTCAAAGGTGATTTCGATCCGATACAAGACCAAGGTAAATCGAAGGCTTCTCTTGCCGATTTAATGGGTTTTTATTAGGATGGATGTTGTTTTCCTTTACTTTTACCGTTTGTTTTTGCGTTTTCAACGATTTCGGAAAATTTTGGTTTCAAATTAGGGTTTCAAAAATTGGGGATTTCAATCGATTTCTAGTTTAGTTAGGTTGGATGTTGTTTTTCTCTCATTTTACGGTTACGATTTGTGATTTCAAGCAATTTGGGGATATTTTTCATTTCAAATTAGGGTTTCAAAGATTGGGGATTTCAATCGATTTGTTGTTTAGTTAGGTTGGATGTTTTTTTCGTCTCATTTTACTGTTACCGTCGTTCTCATCGCGATTCTTTTTTCACGTTTATTTTTGTAGTTCTATAACCGCTATGTCGAAGGCGAGTACATCTTCTCCGAATTTTCAGGTCAGGTTTCAAATGTTCTACTGGAAGTCTTGGTAGACTTATATTAAGTCGTCTGGAAAGTCTTCCAGGTGGAAGACTTTCCAGACGACTTAATATAGGTCTTTCGACTGGAAGACTTGACAGACGACTTAATTATAAGTCGTCTGGAAAGTCTTCCAGACTTATAATTAAAATGTTATACTGGATGGTTGCGTGTTTGAGATGGTATTCTTTGATTTTTTTGCAGGAAAAAAGGATATTCCCGAACTCCCCCGTAGGATACATACACTAGGGCAAGATCCTATCGCTCAGCATAGCATTACGTATCATCCATGTACGAGGTTGTATACTGCTCTAAATAATGCTCTTAATGATGAAGAATATGAAGAGCTGAAGGAGTCTAAGTTGGGAGTTTTCATCAAGTTCCAAGAGCTGGAATTCGAATGGGCTTCAAGGCTGGTTCATTACATACTCTGTTTCCAGCTCGACATAAAGAAGAAGTATGAGTTGTGGAGTCTTGCTGGTCCACAACCTTTGAGGTTTTCACTGTTCGAGTTTGAATACCTCACTGGTCTAAACTGCAAGTACATTGAGGACCTTGAGAGACCAAACTGTCCTGTTACAAAGGAGTTGGTTGCTTTCTGGGAGTTGTTGGGAGTTAATGTCGAAGCTGGGCCAACTACTGATCAGATAATAGATACATTTGGGAGATGCGAAAGGTGGTCTCCGGATGATCGCAAGCGGCTCGGGTACCTTGCCATCTTGGCTGGATACATTGAAGGGAGGAAGTTTTCAACCCATACACGGGCTATGCTGGCTAGGCTAGTGATGGATCTAGAACGGTTTGAGAATTATCCATGGGGGAGAATCGCGTTTAAGGTGTTGATGGACTCTATGAAGGGCAAAGATATATATACAAACAACTCTCCACCAATACTAGCTTACAAGGGTGGCAAAGGATGGTATTTTAAAGATGCCATTGAAAGACATGTATTTA